CTAGGTCATAAAGTATCCTCTAAAGGTATTGAAGTTGATAGAGCTAAAGTTGAGATCATTGAAAAGCTTGCTCCTCCTAAATCAATTAAAGAAATTAGAGGTTTTCTTAGACATGCTGGTTTTTATAGGAGATTTATTAAGGACTTCTCAAAAATTGCTAAGCCCCTTACTAATCTCTTGGTTAAGGAAACACCATTTTTCTTTGATGATGATTGTATGAATGCTTTTCAATTGTTGAAAGAGAAACTGGTTAATGCTCCTATTGTTGTTGCACCTTGTTGGGATTAGCCTTTTGAGATAATGTGTGATGCTAGTAATGATGCTTTAGGTGCAGTTTTGGGACAAAGGAAAGATAGGAAATTTCACACCATTTATTATGCAAGTAGAACAATGAATGATGCTAAAAAAAATTACACTACTACTAAAAAAGAGTTGCTTGCTGTGGTGTTTGCTTTTGAAAAGTTTAGGCCTTATCTAATTTTGTCCAAGGTGATTGTTCATACTGATCATTCTGCACTTAAATGTCTGCTTGCTAAAAAAGATACCAAACCTAGGTTGTTGAGATGGATTTTGTTGCTGCAAGAGTTTGACTTAGAAATTAAGGATAGAAAAGGTGTAGAAAATTCTATTGCTGATCATTTGTCCAGGTTAGATGAGGTGCATGTGGAATGTGGGGATGATCAACTTTTGCTTGATGAGTTTCCAGATGAGCAATTGTGTTTAGTTTCTTTGTGTGCTTTGTCTTCTTTACCTTGGTATGCAGATTTTGTTAATTATCTTGTGAGTAATGTCTTACCTCCTAACTTATCTTTTCAACAGAAAAAGAAGTTCTTTTCTGATAGTAAACATTATTTGTGGGAGGAACCATTTCTTTACAAGATATGTGGCGATGGAATGATTCGGTGTTGTGTACCACAAGTAGAGGTAGATGCAATTTTGAGTTTTTGTCATGACAAAGAAGCTGGTGTTCATTTTGGTGCCTCCAAAACAGCATCTAATGTTTTGCAATGTGGATTTTATTGGCCTTCTTTATTTAAAGATGCTTGTGCTTATGTGAATGCATGTGACCAATGCCAAAGAACGGGTAATATTTCTAGGAGACATGAAATGCCTTTGACTAATATTTTGGTGTGTGACATATTTGATGTTTGGGGCATAGATTTCATGGGTCCTTTTCCTTCATCTTTTGGCAAAGCATATATTCTTGTTGCGGTAGATTATGTGAGTAAATGGGTAAAGGTTGTTGCATGTTTTACTAATGATGCTAGGGTGGTGGTTAAATTTTTGAAGAGTAATATTTTCACTAGATTTGGCACACCTAGGGCTGTTATTAGTGATGGAGGTAAACACTTCTGTAATAGGCAATTTGAAAATTTACTAGCTAAATATGGTGTTACCCATAAAATTGCTACTCCATATCACCCTCAAACAAGTGGACAAGTTGAGGTGTCTAATAGGGAATTGAAAAGAATTTTGGAAAAAACAGTTAACTTGTCTAGGAAAGATTGGTCACTCAAATTAGATGATGCACTTTGGGCTTATAGGATAGCTTACAAAACTCCGATAGGTATGTCTCCTTATAGGTTAGTTTTTGGTAAGGCTTGTCATCTTCCTATGGAACTTGAGCATAAAGCATATTGGGCTATTAAATACTTGAATTTTGATTTGAAAGATGCAGGTGAACATAGAAAATTGCAGTTGAATGAATTCGAAGAATTATGACTTGCTACCTATGAAAATGCCAAGATCTACAAGGAACGAACCAAGGCATGGCATGATCTACATGTGCACAAGAAAGAGTTTCACGTGGGTGGCAAGGTTCTTCTTTTCAATTCTCGACTGCGACTCTTTCCAGGTAAGTTGAGATCCCGATGGAGTGGTCCTTTTGTGGTGACTAAGGTTTTCCCTTATGGAGTTGTTGAAATTTCACATGTTACTAAGGGAACGTTTAAGGTAAATGGCCAAAGGTTGAAAATTTATGTTGAAGGTGGTAATTTTCCAGCATTTAATTCCACCATTTTATTGAAAGACCCTTGATCATTTTGCAGTGATAGTCAAGCTAATGACTGTAAAGAAGCGCTTAATGGGAGGCAACCCATCATCAAAAAAAAAAAATTTGTTATTTGACATTTTTCTGTTTTGCATTGAGTTATTTAATTCTTTTATTCATTTTTTTTTTAAGTTTGTTCTTTGACATTTTTTTTTATTCAATTCTTTTATTCATTTTCTTTTTTCTAATTTTGGCTGGGTTAGCTTTTTATTACCCTTTTTGCAACAGTTTAGACAACTATAACAAGAACTTTTGGCTCTAGAGGAACACACTGCATGTCTATAATAGGAAGAGCAAGATAGGGGAGTATTGTCTTTCTTCTCTTATTTAATTTTTTTACATTGAGGACAATGTTAATTTTAAGTTTGGGGGAGGATATTTTTTGTGTTCTTGCTTTTGTTGTGGTTTGAAGTGATAGAATATTGGATGCATGTGTGCGAGTTTAAGTTTCCAGCATGGTATGAATAT